GGAAAGACGGGAAGGAGGGGGGCGAAGCCTGTCGAAAACTTGAAGAAATGGTACGGCTCCCTGCTGTTCATCGGCAGGGCTCACGCGGAGTGTGCGGGGCACAGCAAAATGCCCGGGGGGGCTACAGCCCCTTGCTCTGGAGGCGTAAGAGTTAAAACAAAGATTTTAAACCGAGAGTCGGGACCCCAGGGGCCTTGAGAATCAGATGTCAGGGGAATCGCTCCCGCCCCCAGCACACTCCGAGTCTTAGATTTCCCCCCAGAACTGTGTGTCCTGTACTGCCCAGTCCTCTCCTGGATGGTACAAATTCATATCAAGCCCATTATTGCTTTAATAGAACTACTACCACCCCAAATGGAGTTTTCCAGACACTTCAGTTCAAACACACTGGATCTGATCAAACAATAAGAAAAAGTTTATTAACTACGAAGCTAGAGATGTTAAGTGAGTACACGTCATGAGGCATAACCGTCAGAAATGGTTACATGAAAAATAAAGGTTAAACACAGCTGGTGCCTAACTTAACAAACTATGTTAAATTCAAAGAAAGGTTTTCTCACCCCATGGTCTCAGCAGTCTTACTGACCGAACTTCTTAGGTCAGGACCCCTTCTCCAGTTCAATGCTGCTTCCTTTGGGACTTCTGGTGCAGTGAATCGATGAAGAGAGAGCGGAGGGGGTGCCTTGGGGTGTTTTTCCCTCTTTTTAAAATGTCAGTCCCCCTTTTGGAAAACATTTCCGGCTGAGATTCAGAAGACAGAGTCTATAGGGAAGGATGTTCCCTGCTGCTTTTTCCTCACCTGTTGGAGCATCTTTTGTTTCCCTTCCTGCTTGATGACTCTGTTTACTGCTTAGATGCAAATTAAGCAGAGCCCCCATTCCTTTGTTTGAGACAGGTCTGTTTGCCCGCCTCAGTTTGGAAGATGTGTTAACACCATACAGTGGAATCTTCTAACTTCACATACAGTGTTGTCGCATGTATTTTATCAGGACAATAGTGACCAGCAAATTATGAGTTTTCAAATGATATCTCACAAGGCGTACTTTGTACAAAGATTATTACGCTAGTGTATAGGGTGTGGACACAGGTACATTCTATCACACTGGCCCACTGCCTCCAACCAATATTGTAGCCCCTTGTGCATGTTTTACTAAGTTGTCCATTCTCTCACTGGGAGGAGGGGTTCCTTCGGGAGAATGGCAGGTTGATGAGGAGTGAGTGATGATTGTACAGGAGCCCGGGGACATTGAGAAAGGGCATAGAGGTCAGAGAAAGGCAGAGTCTGTTCTCCACTTTAATATGTTATAACTAGACAATGACACGCTTAAAAGGTCTTAAAGTATGTGCAGCATCAGCTCCTCTGGTGTGTCAGCAGCACTCTATGGCTTCCTGAACCAACCTCAGGAGAATGACCCAGCGTAGCCGATTCCTGGGCTGGGATGGAACCACCATAGCTGTTCCTACACTCCCCCTCCAGCCAGTGCCGGGGGAAAGAGCACATTGACCCCGGCAATCCCCAGCTGTCAGAACAGCTCTTGCGCCATCTTTGCTCCACCACCCCTAAGCTGCCCCAAGCACTTCTCAGCTGCAACTGAGGATCTGGCCCACTGTTTTAGATGGGGAGAATCTCCCTGTCATGGCCCTCAGCCATCTACTACTTCATATCCTACCCAAGTGTAACTAACACACACACACACACTTCCACTGGGTGTGCCCAAGTCCTCAGGAGAGGAGCCCAGCTTTGATGTGTTGGCACAAGTCTCCTCTCCTGTGGCCATTTTACACCATCTCCGTTTAACTATTAGTCACTCGATCGATTCTATGGTAGCGGGAAAGTCTGGATTAAAATGTCATTCCTTCACCCCTTACCAAGTGTGCCGTTGGGTGGATATCGCTGACGTTATACTTGTAAGGGCCTAATCCAAAGCCTGTTGGAGTCAACTTGAGTCTTTCCATGAACTACACCGGGGTTTGGATCAATGTGTAGTGAAGCTTGAAGAGGGCTCATGGAGTACGTTATGTTCAGGTTCTATACAATTTCTCATAATGCGGTGTGTCAGTGGAGTGGGGGAATGTTTTTATGAATAGGAATAGAGTGATCGGTCTGTTGCTAGGTTTATGCAAGTGTGGGTAGAGCTGGTAAGTTTGTATTTTCACTGTTGCGTAGCATTTCCCATGCGGTGTTTTGTAGTAAGTAATGCTGTATAGTATTGTTATAGTATATTGGGAATGGATCACTTGACTGGGAGTGTAACTGTTAAACCTCCAAGTCATTTCTTTGGGTAGATAGTGTTGGACGCTTTAGTGGGCAAAGTGAGGTCTGGGTTGGTGGATTTTCCTTTTGAGTTTGGGAATAGTTTTTATACTGTGTGTTTCATTCACTCATCAGAGAGTTTAGTCATAAAAATACAGCTACAAAAGGCAAAACTTTCTCAGAAATACCACAGTGCTGCTGGTTTCTGAATGAAATGCTACATCCCAGTGACCCTTCACATCAGCTTCCATCTTTGAATTCCTCCCCACAAAGAGGGAATCCAGCCATGGACTTTAGGTGCCTTCTAAAACCATTGGGGGCTCGTACTCACCTCAGCGAGGTTGTTCACAAGCAACAGGAAGGGGGTGGAACCAGATCGCAGAGGTGGGAGCTGCCCACTCCAAAGTAATACTGCCACTCTGGGGGAGTCATTTCCCCTCTCCCGTCTCCGTCCCCTGGATGTTCCGAGCATTAATTAATGTTTGTAAAGTAACTTCTCGGAGTGGTTTTTAATTGTCCACCAACAGATTGCGATGGTCAGTGACACACTGAAACGATTTACGAAATAGCTGGGGCGGATAATTGCAGTTAGTTAGAAATACACAACACTCTGATGTTTTGGGTTTCATTGGAGACCTCGGGCACATGGCAGGTTTCTCTTCCCTGGTTGGATTCTTAGTACTTGAATTTATTTTACCCTGTACTAGGTGCCTCCCAGTGCAAGGCCTCCTGCCTTGGAGAGTGAACTCTCTGACTTCACACATTACACAGCACAGGGACAGCAAGCCAGGGAGCCATGGATGGGGGAGGAGAGACTATTTGCAGTAATAAGATGATGGGATCATTCAGCAAAGCGTGTGAGCGGTACGCTGGCACTCTTACTTTAACAGGGCTGTTTTGCATATTAGTTATTAATGTCTCGTACAATCAAACGTTGACTCAGTCCTTGTGGGTATCAAGGTAGTAGTGGCACGTCTGTTCAACATAACACTTAGAATCAAGTGTTTGATGTGTGTATTCAGCAGTACGAACGTACTATGTTCTTCTGTTTTTACGTTCTCATGACGCTAGGCGCTGTACGTTATTTATTAGGTGTATTACAATGGTGCCTGGGAATCCCAGGCATGGTTACAGTTTTGTCATGGAAATTGTGAATTTGAATAAAATCATTGACATCTTGGAAACCGCTATAAAAACCCATTTGATTAGGCTTCCCAACCAAGTGGCGTTGCAACCTAGCGCATGAGGTCATAGCACCATTCAGCTTTGGCCAGGCAGCACCTCCATAAATGGAGACTGAGGAGCAGCTGGGCCAAACCTAAGTGGCATGGCGACCCTGTGTGCTAGGTTGGAACACCCAGAGCAGGAAGCAGGGCCCGGCCCTCCAGGACAGGAACCGCCACTATGGGGTAAGTGTCAAGTAGGTTTGCTCTCCAACCCCTCCCCCCCCATGGCCCTTACCTTCCAGACACCCACACACACACACACACACGTGTGTATGTTGATGTAGAGAAAACCACATTATTTGGTGACTTTCCGTGATTGTTTCCAGCACCTCTGCCGTGAAATTTACCAGCAATTTTCCATGTCAATATCATAGCCTTAAGCAGGACCCCATTGTGCCAGGCACTGTCCTGTATTTATTAGGTGTATTACAATAGTGCCGAGCAGCCCTAATCAGGGACCGGGCTGTCATTGTGCCAGGCGCTGTACAAACACAGACCAAAAAGACAGTGTCTGCCCCAAGAAGCTTAGACCAAAAAAAAGGGCTCTGAATACAACTATTTTGTACGTTGGTTGTACTGGATCTATAACAATACCAACAGCTACAACAATGAAATGATGTACCGTACATTTTCATGAAAATCTCTCAAAATCAAGTAAACCAATCTTTTTTTTTAGAATTTGATGGGAATCGTCAAGTATACGCGTTTTTCAATAAATCGAAAATGTAGTGGTAATCAAATGGTGTATTAGGATGGGTAATAATGTTTCTTTAACCCTTTTATCCAGAAAGAAACATTTACACATATCTTCAAATAGACCCCAGTCAGCATGTGAATGCTACACCTTGTTGGCAGGCACATGGAGGAATCCCTACCCAAAAATGTATTTTCAGAACATAAGGATGCTATAGATAGGGACTGGTGAGTTAATTTTGCCTCCAGCTCCCAAAGTGTAGCATCTCTACACCGCACAGAGCTCTTCGCCTCCTGTCTTCTGTGTCTGGATCTGCTGGTCACAACCTGGCAGTGTTGTTCGCTCTCTCTTCTCCTTGCAAACATGCTAGAGCCGGACACAGCAGCCTGTGATTGTTTCTAAGTGCCTACCTCCTAGTCTCGATGCACGACATGAGGATCCTTGCTCAGACGCTGACGCCACGCATTCAGGTCGTGGCGTTTTGTCCTGGTATTTCACAAGGAGCTTTGACGGCTTCGCCATAGCAATAATTGCTTTTGAAAAAGAGCAAAGGGGAGGAAATGGCCCAGTCACTTAGAGGAAGGAAGCCCTGCAGGAGTCCAAAGGTACAGACTGTTCAGCGAAACAGAAGTTTGCAGTTCTACGGCGCTGATCTCGCCAGTCATGGAGACCATCTGGGGCTGAGTCCATGGTAACCTGAGGACTGTCTAACTAGGCATAAGACATTCTAACCCCCCTGCGTCAACGCAGCGGGGGTTAGAATGGGAAGACGGCAGAACAGACGATGCCTGACTGTGAGGTGAGTCACACGAGGGCTTTTTTTCAGGTCTGCACGACTGCTGGGAAGACATCCGGGCTGGACCAAACCCCGAGGGACCTAGAGGAACGTGCGCGGCACAGCGGGACCACAGACTCCGAGCTGTCAGAGCTGGAGGACAAAGTGGCATCAGCGGCCGTGCAGATGCAGCGTGCCGAGAGCGAGGTAATAGCTCAGTTATACAAAGTGGGTGAGCCAGCGAGGTCAGGCTGGTTCTTGCATTGTTATTTATTAGTGCCTAGGGGCTGTAGTCTCAGACCAGACCCCCAGCTGTGCTAGGCACTGTACAAACACAGTGCTGGGCAACGACTAAATGCTTCATCATTTACTCAGTAAGAAAATAAACTCTGAATGAGCGTTTCCTTTACACTGCCATATTGATGGTAGTGTTCACAGCCGTACGCACATTACGCACGGTGTATATCACTGGCAGCAGGGCACAATTTGCCGAGGGCCCCCAAACCGAGTGGTAGCGCACCCTGCACGTGGGGAATACAGTGCCATTCAGGTTTGGCCTGTCTGGAGGGGTGGGCGGGCCCAACCTGACTGACGCCGCGACCCCCATTCTCTAGATCACAACACCAATCAAATTTGGCCCATCCGCCCTTCTGTCTCCATCTATGGAGGGGCGGCTGGGCCAGATCTGAGTGGCGCTGCAATGCCATGCACCAGGTTGCAACACCCAGGGCGGAGGGGGACAGGAACCACTGCTGCGGAATAAGTGCAGGGCGGGCTCACTCTCCAACCCAGCGGGGGCTGAGCGTGGCATGGACCTGGCGGGCGAGGCACTGGGGCCGGTGGCTGCAACGGAGGTGGCGCCAGAGGCATTGGTGGTGGTTGGGATCTGCCCAGCTCCCGTGGTCGTTCCTGGGGGCGCACCTGGGGGAAGTTATGTGCATTTTTTCTCTTAGGTTTCCGATATAGAGTCTCGAATCGCAGCCCTGAGTGCTGCTGGGCTGACGGTGAAACCAGTGGAAAAGCCAAAGAAGAAATACAGCACACAGGTGAGTGTGTCTGCCTGCAGAGGGCGTCCCCAGCATTCAGATGTGCATGGGATACAGGGGTTCTCAAACTTTGGTACTGGTGACCCCTTTCACGTAGCAAGCCTCTGAGTGTGACCCCCCTTATGAATTAAAAACACTCTTTTATATATTTAACACCATTATAAATGCTGGAGGCAAAGCGGGGTTTGGGGTGGAGATTGACAGCACACGACCCCCCCCATGTAATAACCATGTGACCCCCTGAGGGGTCCTGACCCCCAGTTTGAAAATCCCTGTGTTAAAGCCAGAAGGGACGGTTATGATCATCTGGTCTGACCGCCTGAATAGCCCAGGACTAAAAGCCTCCCCTGCCGGTTCCTGCATCAGGCCCTTAACCCAAGTGCTATTCTACATACGGTATAAACAAAACAGCTCTGGGATAACTGTCCCTAGCTCTTTTACAGCACTTGCCATCAGCATATCTCAAAGTGCTCTGCAGAGGCGGGCAGTAGCATTATCCCCCCTCTCTCACATGGGGAAACTGAGGCACAGAGAGGGGAAGTGACTTGCCCAAAGTTACCCAGCAGGCCAGTGGCAGGCCTGGGAATAGAAGTCAGGTCTCCTGAGTCCCACTCCAGTGCTCTAGACACTGCACATATATTTACATATTTACATGCCCCTTGCCCTCTGTTCATGAGGAACTCGTTTACTGCACGCTGTCGTCTCCTCCTTTATAAGAAAGAAATCCCACCCATCTGTCACGGGAAATCTTCAGTTTTCCCCATTCATTTTAGACTTGAGAGCCTCGTCTGCAGCAACCGCTGCCATGTCAGCGTACCACCCCTTAAAACTGGGACACGAGAACTTTCCCACCTTCTTAGGATCAGTCAGCCAAGGGGAGCTGAGATCCATATTGTAAAAGGGGATTTTATCTCCTGGCTGTTGTTATTGGAATTGTGGTGGTGCTTAGAGGTCCCAGGGCACCACGGGGCTAGGCACTGTACACACACACAGTAGGAGACCAGCCCTGCCCCTAAAACCACACTGTGACACTCCCCCAGAGTAGCCAGGGTTGGGAGGTACCACGTGCCCTTAGTGGGAAGCAGCCTTGTCTATGCCTGAAACCAACAGCCTCTGGCAACACAAGCACGGCCTACCGGGCCTTTGCAGGCCTCGCTGTCTCTGTGCAGGTTAGCAATGGGTACACACCAACCCCTCTGTAGTGCCCCACCTCTGCTCCACTGAATTCTCACAACACTCCCAAAGGAACAGCACATACCCCCGTGCAGGATGGAACTTGGCATCACCACAGCTGTTAGCTCACTCCCAGTCTCTCTGTCTATGGTGAAAACAAGGATATGTTTATTATCAAAGAACAGAGATTCAAGTGAGAGTGGGAAAGGATACTGGAAACAAGTGGTTACATATAAAACAAAATCATAATGTGCTTTCTGGAGCCAAACGTAACTAACCAGGTATTCCCCTACCTCCTCCAAGAAAGCAAACTTACCCAAGTACTTTCCCTAGTGTTTTCAGCTGGTTTGGTTGACATCCCTTCTCATAGGCTCAAGCCTGCTGATAAGTTAGGGTTACCATTCGTCCGGATTCCCCCGGACATGTCCAGATTTTTGAACTAAAAATAGCGTCCGGGGGGAATTTG